TACCTGATATTTTTCAATCAAAATAGACAGTTTCCTCATCTGCTCTAACAGATGCTCTGTTAGAATCTGTTAGAATATGTTAGCTCTAACTAGAAGGAGCTTTTAATATCTTTGGTTGTTATGGGTTAAATTCTAATCCCTAAAAAAGCCAAGTTTGCTATAAAAGTATGTGTTCCTCAGACAGTGACTGAAAAGCATTACTGATGTGAATGTCTGACAGATTAGGCTGAAACCCTTGGAAAAGCATCTGTTTCTCTCGTAATACCTGTGCGGATGCAGTCTTTATGTAAAGAAAATTGTTTTGTCACTTAGAAAATGCTTAAAAGCAAAAATACTCACCCATGGCAATTAACGTGGCTTTTCTTATTATATGCTCATAGGATGGACAGAACCCAGGTCCTCCACCACTGATACCAGGACTGGGGCAGCAGGGAGGACAAGGTCGCCTCGGCCCTCACAACCAAGGACCGGGTCTTAATAAAGGTATGTTTGTTCTTCTGTGAGTAATTCTACTGAAGAGGCTGTTCCAGTGCAGTGCCTTGAGACAGAAAAAAGCTACAGCAGAGGACAGGGCCATGACAGAGCAGAAAGCTTCTGTAGACTTGGGCTGGAACATAGAGGAAACGATGTGCCAGAAGAGAGTGATGTAATGTGAAACATATAGCATGTACTGTGTAGAACTGTACGAACTAGGGCATCCTAAAGCCTTTTTAGAAACCATTACAGAAATCTGCTATGATTTTTTCCCTCAAGGTGACTCCCGTGGTCCACCAAACCATCACATGGGCCCTCTCTCAGATAGAAGGCACGACCAGAACAGTGGTGGTCCTGACCATGGGCCTGAGAGAGGGTTGTTTCGAGGTGGCCAGGAGTGGGGTGATGGTAGAGACAGCAGGGGCATGCCAGATAGACGAGGACCTCACCCAGATTTCCATGATGACTTTGATCGACCAGATGACTTCCGTGACGACTTCCATCCAGATAAGAGATTTGGCCATCGATTACGGGAATTTGAGGGGAGAGGAGGTCCACCGTTGCAAGATGAGAAATGGAGACGAGGTGGACCTGGGCCTCCCTTTCCTCCTGATCACAGGGAATTTGAAGGAGGGGGTTCAAACCGTGGGCCTCCTGGTGCTTGGGAAGGACGCAGACCTTCAGATGATAGATATCCACGGGATCCTGAGGATGCACGCTTCCGAGGAAGACGAGATGAGAGGTAAGAATTAATCTCTTCATTTTTGTGGGGGGTTAAAGGTTAAATGGAGGGAATTCTTTCTTCCTGGTTTCCTTTTCATTAAGGAGTCTATCTGTTTCAGATTTATAAACTGGAAACCAATAAGGAAATGAAAACTCTAATATACCTGAGTATAGAGTCCATAAAAATCATTCAGTAATAGAAGAAAAATGGTCATTGTACACAGCAGCTTCCGTGTCTTTAAACAGTAAGTAAAGAGAAGGCAGGAAATTTTTAGAGAAGATCCAGTGACACAGGATGAAGATTTGAGACCGTTTTGATGAAAATTGAGAGGAAACTTGGAGGTTAAAGTGGCAAACTTTTGAACACTAGAAGTGGATTTTGAGACTTTGTCTCCAGTCACAAACTACAGCATGACTGTAGGGACTGTAGAATGAGATGTAAGATACTTGTAAGGAGCAGAACAGTGATCCTGCTATCAAATATAAGGGACAGAGCTACAGCATCTGCTGGACTGTTGAGACTATTTTCTGATGGGTTTGCTTGTAGAGATTTTATTTCTCTTTCTGACTTTATTTCTTAATGCCAAGCAAAGAACTTGGAGGTACCCAACTTACAGCAATGTCCATATCATTGCTCACAGTTTCCAAATAAATTAAGGGATGAATTTGTGTCTAGTTACAAATGTAAATGTGGAGGAATTATGCTAAGTCAGCAAGATTAACTGTCATTGAAACGGTTCCACATTCATGCTAGTTTAACTGGGTTAAATTCGGCCTCCAAGGTCTAAGCCTCTCACTGACCACCAACTCTGTATGTATAAGAACATGTACAAATATCTTGTGGTCTCCACATAATGTGAACTTTGTGTGTTTTAGTTGCCTTTTTAATCATTTTCTTACATTCCTTTTACTTTGCATCTACACAGCTCTTCTTTTAGCTATTTTCTACCTAGCTCTGTAAAGCTGTACCTTCCTTTTGTGTGAAGAGTATGAAAAGAAATGAACAGTAACTAAGAAAAGGTAACAAAGCCATTTTTAAACAGTAAAAGTAGAGAGAATCCAAGCTGAATGCTCTGCCGTACAGAACTCTAAAAGCAGCAGACAGCGCTTTTAGAAGCTCAGTAGAGATTTTCAAATCTTACCTTGGAAATGCTGTGGGGCTAGAAGGTATTTTACAATGATCCTGATTTTTAGAAAGGTTTCAGGAAGATTCTGAGGACCTCTTGACCTGTAAATCTAACTGCTGAACTAAGAGGAGTCTGTCAGAGTGCAAGTGTTTGTACAGTCTCGTTTAAAAGGAATCAGCACAGGGCTCTAAAAGGCTTATTGTGCTTGCAAGCTTAATGGATTCCTTTGAATGAAGGCCAATTAAGTGCCATTTACTGCAGATGCTGAGAGAACTCAAAAATCCCAACCCCTTATTTAGCTGACTTGGTTTGGAATTTAGACTGTAACTGGTTTGATGAAGCATGAGAGGGAAGTGTGTGTATGTGTGTTCCTCTCTCATTTCCCGTCCTTTTCATCCCTGTCCTGTTCTTACTATACCTATGCACATTAACATGATGCTTCTACTGCAGAGACCTGCCTCTTCCTGCCTGCTAATCTGCACAGTCTGTAGTTCTGTATGTTAAGGTCCTAGGCCTCAAGGAAGAAGATCCAAGAGCAGTCTAAACAGAAACTGAGCCCTATGCAAGGCAGGGGTTTACATGTGACTGATGTGAAATAGAATAAACATAACACAATATTAGGACCTGTGGCTATGTCAGGCATAGGTATGATAGATTTCAAAACTAAACTGTGTCCATAACGTTGCCTGGAAACAAAAAGGAAAGGCCCTATTCCTGCTAGCCATAAGACTTTGCATTGCAAATCTTGGTGATTTATACGCTAAGCAGACTCATACCATGTCAGTATTAAAATGGAAGGCCCTCTAAAGAACATCTAGGGAACTGTGCTGTTTCAAGGCTAAACAATATTGCAGTGTGATCATCTGAACCATTTGTACCTGAAACTGCTCAGTTTGTTCTCCCAAATCATCCAGGTTAATGTAAAATGGTTCATTGTCCGTACACAGCACTCCCTCCATCCACTGTTGTACCTTTACAGGCACAGCAGCCTCCTCTCTGTATTGTGGTTGTTCTCTGGGAGGTGGAGACAGACCTATTGTTTTTCATGAAACATAAATTGTAAAAGTTTAACAATATTGTATTGTGTTCTGACTACTGTTAAAATATTTAACTTTGTAATTAAAAGGTTAATGTTGTTAAAATTCTAAATAAAAGTATCTAAAGTTTTGCTTGTAATAGGATGCACTGTGTCGTTAATGAGCTGGGGAAGGGGATGCTGCACAAAGCAAACACCATCCGTGTATTATGGTGGTTACAATTTGGCCAGTGTGGAACTGGGAAGAGAGGGGAGGTGGGGGGCATCAGTGGGAATGGGCAAACAGTGCCCTGCATGATGTGTGCTGCTACTGACGGGTGGGCAGGAGCAGCGTGGGGTCACACTGACTGTGAGCACTCCTGAACCAGTGTACCTGCACTGCATATAGCTCTCGCCTGTGCTTGCACAGAAACAGGGCTGTAAACTAAAGCAATCCTAACAACTGGTGCTAGTTAGGATGCACTTCTGGAGGTGCAGTAACACACAGAACACACCTGTGCTGCAGGTGTTTAAAATGGCAAGGTGAAACCAAAACTACCGGTGTTCATGCAGCCACCTACAGGCTTACCTGAAGTGGCACTGACAGTTCATAAAGAACCATTCTTCTCTCTGAACACCTCAGTTAAAACCCCAGTGTGATACTGGAGGAGCTATACTCATTTCACATGAGATGCACAACCCAGTCATAGCAAATTACTGCCATGGGACTTGGTAGAAATTACCAACTTCAGTGTCAAAACTACCTTTTGCAAAGCAAAATCCTTCATTATTGCAGCTGAATAAACTGCTCTTCAGGTTGTAGAATGCCACTGTGCATGCTGTTCAACAGTCACCCTCATCCCTGCAGAGCCAAAGGCTGTCTAGATTCATCTGCTAAAACTGTAAACTGCGAAGAATGGAACAGAAAAGAGAATGTTTTAGCACAGCAAAAATCAATGGAATGAGATGCTGATGTGTTCTGTTATAGCTATGACTCTCATTGCTTGAATTCTTCCAGTTTATTTTTATTACTACAATGGAAGGGGGAAAAAAATGGAAGGGGAAAGAAGACCACCACATTAAGGGAAATTCACTTATACTTTACCTTCTTTTAGTCATCATTCACAGATTTCTCCCCCTCCCTTTATTAAATGAACACAATATATTTGGAAGTATTTTTCTTGTTTGAAAAACCAACACAATCAGCAGAAGGAAATGAGGGGAAACTACAAAAATGAACAGACAATGTGCTCAAAGGCAGAAAATGAGCACTTTTCCACCTACAAATCCTATTCTAGTAACTGTATGTGCTATAGTATTAAGTAAAACAGTTCAGAAATGAGTTGATGATTAAACTGAAGCTGGCTGAAGTTTCTCAATTAAATTCTGTCTAAAACCCGCATTTGTACCATGTTCTTTCTTGTAGCTTCAGAAGAGGAGGACCCTCAAGACATGAGGGCCGAGGTCCCAGGGGGAGAGATGGCTTTCCTGGACCTGAAGATTTTGGACCAGATGATGCTTTTGACTCTCCAGATGAAAACTCAAGAGGAAGGGACCATGGTGTTCGGGGGCGAGGTCGTGGTGCTCTGAGAGGTGAGTGGAACATTCTTCCACACTGAAATGCAAGGATATGGAAACAAAGACATTTCTTGGGCAAATTAACAGTATTGTCACGAATCCAACGTCTCCTGTCCACTGCATCTCTTACTGCGCAGGAGGCCGGAAGGGTTTACTTCCTACTCCCGATGAATTTCCACGCTTTGAAGGTGGGCGGAAACCAGAATCCTGGGATGGAAACAGAGAAACAGGTAAAAACTGGAGAGGGTTGCCTTAGATAACTGCAGACTTCTATAATATAACCAACCAATGACCAAAAAATTTAGGTGTAAAAATCACTTCTTCCTGTACCTCACATACTCATGATCAGTCTGTTACTATAAGAAAACCAGAACATAGTTCTTTGGACTTCTAAATTCAGGAAAAAAATTACATAATTTAACTGGCTCCAAATGCAGCTGCCTCACCAAACAAAATTATTATGGCCTCAAAGCCTCAATTTTAAGTTGATTTACTGTACAGCCTGGGACTGCCGGTTGTTGTCACCTGCGGATGAGTGAAGCACATACCTGGGGATTTTCTGAGGTGTACGTTAAAGCCAACAGTAATCGTTCTCTTGGGTGGCATCTTCTCTGTTGTTGCAAAAATCATGTTTTCAGCTGCAGTGTCTGATAGCTTACTGAAATTTGCATTTGTGTTACTAATGGGGGAAAACCTGAGTTTTCAAATGGCATGGAAAAAATGAACACAAATGAATAGATGAAGATATGAACATCTCTAAAATATATGAAAATACACTGAAAAGAACACTTTAGATTTGTCACTTTGATTCCCATCATCCTTTAGAGACCAGTTTTACCTTTAGCTTTCTTAAAACTTACTCATCTAATGTTTGCTTGTTTTCCTGTTGGGATGGGGAGGGGGGGAAGCTTTATGTAATTTTAACTTAAAATTGTGTGCCAAGTACAATGGAAAGGGTGTAAATTGATGTGACTTCCTCCAAAACAAGTGAATAACAATCACATCAACATTACTTATTGTCCTGTTTTTTCTCTTCATGCTCAGGTCCTCGTCCTGATCACCCTCCTCACGACAGGCATTCTCCAGCTAACAGAGAACGTGCTTCTTCACTCCAGGGCATGGACATGGCCTCACTGCCACCACGTAAACGTCCCTGGCACGATGGACCAGGGACCTCTGACCACAGAGAAATGGATGCTCCAGGTGGACCTCCAGAAGAGAGGGCCAAAGGTAAAAAGGCCCTTGTATTGAAAACCTTAACACTGGCACATTTTTCAACAGTAGACTTATCCAGAATTCCTTATCTGTTCAGAGGGAATAAAGCTGAACTGGTAAATATCTGATCTTGCCAGGTGTGAGGCTTGAACACCAATCTCACAGGAACACAAGAACGGAGGGGTTTTCTGGAACACCGCATACAAATCTTTATTCTAGTTTCATGTAATTCTCTCCTTCATTGCCCTGATCAAAACCACTTAGCCCTGTTACTCCAGCTAGAAAACTGTTAAAAGCTTTTTTCCCCTCTAATTTTCAGTATAGTTACTTGTTATTTAACCTTGTGCTAGCACCCTTTATCTGAAATATCCTTCCTGTCTCAGCTTTCACTCTGTTGGACCCAAATGTTTTAACTCTTTGCTCTTGAGCAACCTGGTCTAGTGGAAGGTCAGGGACGTTGCAATTAGATGATCTTTAAGGTCCCTTCCAACCCGTATCAGCCTGTGAGTTGTCTGCTTATAAGAGTGTAAGCATAGCCATCCATGAGCAGACCAGAAGTCTATAAAGCTCAGTAGCTTGTCTTTTAACACTAGCTAGTAACAGGTACAGAGGAAAGTGTTACTCTGTTCTTAACAGTCTAAGTCTGTAGTGGTATGTCCTGAAATGCTGTCTCAACCTTGAAGATTTGTAGTTCAGTGACTGGCTGCAATATTTTTATATCTAATGGCTTTTGACTTACCTTTTGTGTGTTCTCTAACTGCTTTAAGAATCATATAAACTTTTGGCATCTGCAAGACTGTGGAGAGCTCTAAAACTTAATTGCAGTAGACTGTGTTTAAAAAAAGAGGAAGGAAAATGTTTTCCTATTGTTTTAATCCTTTTGCTCACTAATTTCATTCAGTGATGTCTTGTGTTTTAACTGGAACAGTTGGAAGATGATGCCTCTTATTTCTGAATGCCACCTCTACATCAAAGTCTATGATTTCCAACCTGAAGTAGCTCTTCTCCAAGTCACAGCTCTGATCTGTATCATTTACTCCCTTATTACTCTGTATATAGTATTTTCATTTTTATTTTATCCTTTTGTAAATTAAGCAGGGCAACTAGCAGTTGCACGCACTATTCAAGATATGGTTTACCATGTGTTTCTGTAGTTCACCTGGTTTTGTTCTCCCTTGCTTCCTAATAGCTTGTGATGTCCTATTTATTTCCCGTTTTAACTAACTACTGAACAGTCACATGGCATCCTCATGCACCTAGCTGGTTCAGACCCTATTGCTATGTGTGCCATTTCCACAATCATCCGGTTAGTCTTGTACCAGTTCTTGATTCTTGTTCTCATAAATCTCAGGATTGATGATGTCTTTGTTGATGACGTCTTTTGTTAATGTTGTCTTCGGGGCTTTTTAATGTCCTCATATTCACAACCCACTATTAGTGGTCAGTGACAGAGATTCTTCTCAGTTGCTTCCGGATGCTGAGAGCCTATTTTCTGTTGTTAGACCTCTAGTGCGCAGCTTTGTCTTGATGCCACCAAATTTCACTCCACTTCTCTTACTGTTGTCCTGAAGCTTGTTTAGTGTTAAGTGTAGGCCAGTCCTCCTCTGCAGGGATTGTATTTCCAGTTCTGTACTGACAGTTGGTTATGCCATTTATTCACAGAGGTTTTTAATGAAACCCTGTTGGTGAACTCCCTCTGTATCAGTATTTTTCCTTTCAAAAGGCTGTGTTTCTCATTTAGCCAGCTTATCGAATCTGTGAGGATTCCTTCTCCAGCTTCAAGAGTAATTTGTGATAACTCCATCGGGTGCTTTATTGATGTGAAAGCAGTTGTTAACTACCACGCTTCTTTGAATGACATGTTTTAGTGTGAGGTGTCCCTGCCCATGCCATGGGGGTTGGAACTAGATGATCTTACGGTCCTTTCCAACCCTAACTATTCTATGATTCTATGACTCTATGACTCTTGTGCCTAGACAACTCACTAATGGTCCAAAGACAGTTCAGAACAATGGCAAGAAAGCCTGATACCAAAATATCGACAATACTATTTCGTGTATGGGCTGTGTCACTTTCAGTTGATTGGTAAAGTCATGTGAAGGTTAAAACTTCATGAATTATAAGCTCTGTGGAACAATTTGGTCTTTATTTTACACACAACCAAGCAGTCAACAAAAAAATCCTTCTTGCTAAAGTGACGAAAAATGTCCTAATTTAGCTGTAGCACTTTGCTGTGTTCACAAAGCACTGTTAATGTTACTACTTTGGGTCCCCATCCCCCCCCCCCCCCCAATACTGCTTGTTATTTTGAGCTAATGATTATGGGGGTTTTAATATTAATTGAAGTCTCAGTACTAAGACCTGTGAGAAGCAGAAAATCCCATTTCTGGCAGTAAGAGCTGATGTAGTTTATGTTCCTGGTTAGTGATTAAAATAGAGCACTTTTCCATTATTTCTAGCAAAAAATGGAACAAAACCAGTAATGTTACTCATTGTCTTCACCACCAACCTCAACTCATCCATCAGTGCAATGTCCTTTTTTAGGAAGAAAAGTGTTTTTCAACAAAAATGTATAGAGAACCACAGATGGTGCTAAAGCACAAGAGTTGGGTACACCTGGCAGTTCTGAGAACACCGTGACTATCATTGTTCTAATTTACTGAAGTGATTGCTGACTGTATCAGCTATAAACTCCCTCAATTCCCAAGGAATTGTCTGACTGCAATCCATCTTCTGGACTGTAATGGAGACACTAAATCTATGTGGGAAAAATATTGCAGAGAGGGGAGAAGGCACAAAATTACAGGTCTCAACTGTGTTTGGTCTGCAAATGAGTATCCCATAGTTCCTTCCACAAAGGAACTAGCTAAATATATGGTATGGCTGAGACAAGGCACTGCTTAGACTCGAACACCAGTAACTGACTGTGCTTCTTTCTTAGGACGAGGAAATTCACAGAGGGCGTCAAAATCTGGGAGATCCAGTTCTTTAGATGGAGACCATCACGATGGATTCCACAGAGATGAAGCTTTTGGTGGAGGCCCTGCAGGAGGCAATAACCCTTCTCGAGGAGGAAGGAGTGGAAGTAACTGGGGAAGAGGAAATAACATGAACTCTGCTCAATCGAGAAGAGGATCATCCAGGGGTGGTGGAAGGGGCCGATAGAAGAGGCTTTGACTGGGTCGTGCCCAGTCCTGCCTGGACAATATTTAAATGGATTGCTACTCTGGACTCATAAAGTAACCTGCAACAAACCTGGATTCTTTAACTGGGATAACTGAATATGCATTAGCTCCTAACAAGACAGGGGGCTTTTCCTAGATCAGTCAACTTCTGCTAGCTGCAGGGCTGTATCTGGCTTTCTGTTTTGCCCTCTCCACCCTTGTTTTCCTCACCTTCTTTTACCTGCTTGGTTTTGTGAAGAGCCGGAATTTTTTTAAGTGATATGAGGCATGGAGCACCTCCACAGACTTCAGTTCACCTCCAGACAGAAACCTGTTCCTATGTGTACAGTTTGTCAGAAGACTTACGTTGGTTTTGTATAAATACAAATGTAATTTGTGCAAAAATTAACATAAAATAACCCAGTGTGTGATTCTTTACTCACCTATGACTATAAAGAGGGCTGTCTTTTGGCAGACTTGTGTTATCAGATGGAGCAACAGAACTGCCTCCTGAAACCTCAACTGTCTTAAATACTCATAGCTGGATGATTCCTAGGTTTTTTGTTTATAATGCACAGAGGGCTTTCATTTTCACCTTTAGCCACAGCTGTCTACTGATTAAAGTGGTGCTGATGCTAACATTCCAAAACACAGGAAACCACCGCTGCTTGCTAGTCTGCCATCCTGAAAGAGAAAAACATGGAACATTGCTTAGAAAAAGCTGTCACAGACATAGTGTGAGTTACATCCTGGACTACCAGCAAGACAGACACCATGACAGACATTGTCATTATGTGCTTCAGCTGGGCAAGTCAAGTATCTTTGTTCAAAACAGCATTTGGTTATAAAAACTGAGGAAGAAAGTTTAGCAGATTGATTAATATGGATGCACATGCTTTACAATGGCTGTAGGAGGCATTGCTTAAAGATAGCTGGTTTCACTAGGGTCTGGTACGTTCAAATGCTCAAGTGCAAACCTCAACAGTTGATCACTTTCTAATAGCTTTTTAAGTATAGTTTTCTTTAGGATATAGCCTCCCAGTTTTATGAGGAGAGGGAAATGATGAGGAAGAGTTATTCCCATTTCCCACATTTCACAATAAAGCTGTTGACCCCCATGAATTTGTTTCCCCATAAATCATTCATATTAATCATCTCCAGTCACCAAGTTATCAAAAGGCTCCTTTAATAAATAAAGCCTCAATGAAAATTTCACCACAGAAGTACATATTCTAAAGCCAGAAAGGTCCCACATTAAAAGTATAGGATATAACGTATAATGAACAATACTGCCAGGCATCCATCCCCCCTGCCCTGGCTTTTATGTTTTAATATTCAGGATAATATGGTGGTGTACTTCTCTAGCTGTCAAGGCTACTGCAACAACACAGTGAAACACGGCAGCTATTTTATCTGACATCTCAGTCAGATTTACCAAAGATTGGATGACCTATCTTATACGAAGAGAACAAAACACAGGTTAACACTTAACTGCTCTTCTCTTGCTTCAATCAGTCACAAATAGCATTTTCTTTCTTAGTTTTGTAGTGTATAAAATGGCATTTGAAAGTTATAGTATTTAACTGATCATTAGCCTATAAAATCCTTGTCATCGGGCTCTAGAGACAACGATTTTAAAGGAATTAACTGGGGAACAGCTGATAGAACACAGTTTCTTCTTTGAGGACTAAAAATGGAACTGCTTTTTAACATGTACTTGAAGAAAGGCTTTGGTCGCTTTTAGTATACATCAGTGAGTTAGGAACTATTCTGAAGTTTTGATGATAAATATCAGTATTTTGATAGCAAAGTGGAAAGTGTGCCCTTTTTTTAACAAGCTCTATGTATTTTTAAGAGGCTGAAAGTTATTTTTACATAATAAGTGTATGATTTAGAGGATGAGCTTTAGTCCCCAATTAAACCACAGTCCTCTACCAAAACAAGAGTGCACCCAACAGCAAACCCAGCTGTTTCTGTCTAGACAAAAGGGAGTTATGCTTGGGTTTCCTCTGATGTTTCCTGAACTCCTTAAACCACTGTGGTACTTGGTGTTAAGTGGAATTCCATATCAAGCGGCAGATTTTTTAATTAAGTTTTGAAATATTCCACAGTCATGGAATATGCACAAAATGTTTAAGCAAAAATGGAAAATAAGCTAGCTTTTGTGTAAAATCTTAGAAGGTGACAGCATGGCAGGAGAAACACAAGTGTCCCAGTCCATGGTACTGTGACCAACGTTGCTGGGAAATGGGTAAGATTACTTAATGGGAATATACTGCTGTACTCTTTGGGTCAAGTTCTCTTACCCAAATATGGAATCCTTATCCTGTACCTGCTAGTTTACAGCTCTGCCTTCTCTAGGATTGGTTTAGTTCATTACTGCTGTTAGGAATAAATTACTTCTCTATACTGTAGAAGTTGTAAAAATGAGATAGCCCTGATCTACATTTTTAAGGGAAAAGAGTGACCGTTAGTGGAACGTCTGTACTGAAATTTGGTACACAATTGGTTTTATTAAAGTAATCTCTGTACATTTAGGCACCCCAATTTAACAGTTTCAGTTTAATTCAGAGTATCATGTGAATACACTAAACTGTAAGTAGTGATATCAGGGAAATATTACATTGTTTAGCTTTATTTTGTGTATAAGGCACAAATACTCAGTGAGATACTCAGGGTCTGAGCAGGTTAGGCCTGGTATTCCCCTTTACATGCAGTAGCGCAGTACACAGCCCAACTGAAGCACCACACTCCCAGCAGGGACTGTCAGCCTGAATTCAGCACCTTCCTAAGGCTGCTTAGCTTCTGCATTGAAACTGAGCTGTGCTGGCTGACAAAAGCCCTAATTACCAGCAAGTCTTGTTTCTCAAGGTCATGCTGTGACAAGTAAGCAATTCCTGTCTGAACTGAGATATCTAAATACATATATATATAAATTAAGTTCCAAGAGCTGAAGCTACCCTTGTAAAGCCCAAGTGTTACAGCAGCTGTAAGGCAGCAGCAATACCTTCAAAGACTTAAGGCTCTTACCTGATTAGCACCTGCCATCCTATCACTGTCATGCACCAAGACCACCCTTATAGTTATGGCAGTCTTTGTGACCCACAGCCCCAGGAAAGTTTGTTCCACTGACTGGATGGTATTTTAAAGAATGGGGTTTTAGAGAGGAATGCAGTTCAGTAGAAACTGTATTCATATTCACCACTGGTCTGACGTGGCTGATGACTGCGCCACTCAGCAACTGAACCATGTTCGGAGTGTAGGGGTCAGCACAGCAATGAGTTAACAGCAGTTAACTGTTTTGAACGTTGACCCTGACACTTGACCAGATTTCACTAAGCTGTCCCCACACTCCAACACCAGCCAGCCCTGCAGCCTCAGCTGTAAGACACTTGCTTTTCATGTCACGGGCAAGTCAATCCTTATGTTTCACTGGCTCCATAATCTCACTCACGTTTTGAAGTAGGCTGCAGCAGCCACATGGTCCTAGACTGGAGGTAGGGAAGTGGGATGCTGCCAGCTCCTACCCGAGCCGGAGAGACTCCAGACCACGGCTATGGAGCTGCCTTTGCAGTAAGGCAGAATCCTGTGCTCAGCTGGCACCAAGCCCGTCACCTGAGCACAGGCAACGCGTTTAGAGTCCCCGGTGCCGCTCGCGGGTGCCAGCCGCTGTTCTTCTGGTTCAAGAACTGGCGAGGAAAGCCCAGCAGCAACGCCAAGGAGGTGAAGGAAGCGGCGAGCAGACGGCGCCATCCTCATCCCCGTCTCGGAGAGGCGCCTCCGTGCTCCGCCGAGCGTGAGTCTCTGTCCCTCCGTCCGAGTCCCGCCGGGCTCACACAGGCAGCGCTTTGCCCCCGCGCCGCACCGCAGCGCACAGGAGGCCGCCGAGGCGGCGGAGGCCAGCGGCGCCCCCGGGCAGCGCGCTCAAGAGCGCGGCGGCGGCGGTGCCCAGCTGGGCCGCGGCGCCCAGCGCCGTCAGGAGGGTGCTGCGCAGCGCCAGCGCCGCATAGAGGGTGCCGCCGAGGGCGCCCAGGTAGAGCAGGGAGCCGCGGCTGGGCTCCCGCAGCAAGCGGGCCGGCCCGCGGAGCAGGGCGGCGGCGCCCAGGGCGCAGAGCGAGCCGAGGGACCAGAGCAGCGCGAACTTGCGGGCGCGGAGCAGCAGCAGCGGCACGTACAGCGCGGCCAGCCCGAAGCAGAGAGCGGCCAGCAGCAGGCACAGCCCGCTCCCCGCCAGCCGCTGCCAGCGCGACAGCCCCGGCAGGAAGGGGTCCGCCTCGGCGGCCCATGGCCAGCCCGAGCCCGGTCCGGCTCCCGCAGGGGGGGTGCCGCGGCCCGGCGAGAAGGGGTTCAGCGGGCCCAGCCAGGCCCCCAGGCCGCCGCTCCCCGCTGCCTCCTCCTGCGAGCAGCCGGCGGGCGGCGGCGCAGGTCCCGCATTGGCGGTGGTAGCGGCCTTTGACTGCGCCAGGTACTCCTGCAGCTGCCGGCCCAGGTCCGCCATGGAGAGGCCCGGCACCGTTCCACGGCGCTACAGCGAGCAGCACAACCGCCCCTCCGCCATCTTGCGGAGCAGCTGCATCCGGGTTACCGGGGCGGCGCGCGTGTGCGGAAGGCTGAGGTGGCGGGAGCGCCGCTTCGGTCCCCCAGTGCCGGCGCCGCGGGGCTGGGTTGAGGGCGGAGACGGCTGCCTTTGGGCAGCTGGGCCCCGTAAAGGAGGTGTTCTTTAAAAGAGGCGTCTGACAGAAGGAGCGGCGGTGTTCGTCGGGCAGGGGGTGCTGGGCCGGGCGACAGGGAGAGTCTTGAGCCGCTCCGCATGGAGCCACTGGAAGAGCTTGGCAGCTGTGAGCTGCAGCGCCTCATCAGGGAAGAAGATGGCGTCACGTTCAAAACGTAGATGGGTAAGAGGAAGGTGGTACCTGAGGTTGATGGAGCTCACAGGGAGCTCTATGGGACACAGCAGTCCCGGAGGCTGAGCGCTGCCCAGCGCCGTGTGCCCCCAAGGTTGGCAGCTGGAGTCTCCTCACGTCTAACCCAAGGTCTCTGCCTCTCTGAAGAGCTGCAAGAGCAGAGACATTACATGTAGGAACCATCCCAGCAGGGCTGGAGATGTCGAGCACGACCAAGAGCTTGCCTTGTACCCCTGTGTGCTCAGCCAAACCTGTTAACTCACTGGCTGTTCATTAATAACATTAACTACTATTCTGTCCTCGACCAACCGTTACAACAAAAAAAGAACATCCAATTCTTCACCCTGGTTTAAAGACACAATAAATAAAAATATCAAATGCTAATTTAACCTTTATGATTCTAAATGTTCACTGCAGGGCTGAGAAAATGAGATGTTTGGACAGCAGGAAACAGCCATCAGTTTCCATCATCAGTGTGCAGCAATATCCATAGCAATGGTGAGTCACAGTGTATTCAGCTGCCGCACAAGATGCAGATTAAGTCTGAAATCACTGTTGGGCAGAAGCTGCCTGCCCTATTTGGTGGATCAGTTTAGCATTGGTACATTGATACAAGTCAGAAGGCATAACACTCTCTAGTGCTCAGGACAAAGTTTAATGGTTGGCAAGAAGAGATGGTACCATAGAATGGTTTGGGCTGGAAGGGAGCCTACAGCTCATCCAGCTCCAACCCCCTACCACTGACAGGGACACCTTCCACTAGAGCAGGTTGCTCCAAGCCCCTGTGTCCAGCCTGGCCTTGAACAGTGCCAGGGATGGGGCAGCCACAGCTTCTCTGGGCACCCTGTGCCAGATGCTGTCAGAAACATTGCACCTGGAGGTGTCTTTGGGGGCAGGCCCCCTCTTTGCCAGCAAAGGATGCCATCTTACTGCTTTCTAGAATATAGCCTTCCAGGCTGTGTCTTCTGCTGCCCTGACAGTAAAGCACGCTGCAAAGATGTTTTCCCCTTGCGTTGAGTATGTGCCATGAGTGTAACAGTCTGTAGTGGCTGTCAGGAAGTGTGATTCTTCGTTCATAGGAAAATGAAGTAATGTCAGTGAGGTGTATGTAAGATATAACTGTACACCAACTAGCGGCTCTGTGACTACGCGTTTACCTTCTCCCTCCGGGCTCACCGTAGCACCCGAGGCGGTTACTGTCGGGCGGCACGGAGCGGCGGTGGGACAGCGCCGTGCCCCGGGGCTGCCGGCTCCCCGCCGCCCCCGAACTTTCCCTTTATAGGAAAAGTATGCGCGGGGCCGCCCTGAGTCACCGGCGGCCGCGGCTCCCGCCCACACCCAGGGGCCCGGGCCGCCGCTACCGCCGGGCCGGGGCGGGGTTTGCGCTGCCCGCCGGGGCTCGCTGGGACTGGTGCCGCCGCGCCGAGCCGCGTGTGCCGCTTCGGAGCCCCGCCGCCACGGCCCGGAGCACGCCGCCATGACGGGCAGGTAAGGGTGGGGAGCCCGGCCGGCAGGCAGGGGTCGGTGGGTGCCGCGCTGGGCTGTCACTGCCTTCGCCGGCCCTGTGGAGAGTCGGGGAGAGCTCCCGTGTGCCCGGGAGGAAGCGGTAGGGGGAAGAGGACTTTTTCTCCTGTGAGGTTCAGGCGGCGCGGGCCAGCTCCAGTACCGCTCCGTGGGATGGTAGAGTCGGAAACAACCTCTTGTAAGGCTGCTGCGATGTGCCTTACCCCTGCGTGGGGCAGTGGGAAGACTAGAAACAGAGTTGGAAAGGAGCAGCTGTGAATCTGAGCTGTGTCCGCCCAGCAGCCGGGCTCCCTGCAGCCTGTTCCCGCTGTGCCCCGCACTTCGGGGTCCTGACTGGTCTTCACGCTGCCCTTCTGCCCGCACGTTGTTTGCGCCTCTTCTGGCTGTGGCCTTACTGTTACACTTCTCAAGAGCTGTTTAAATGTGAAGCTTCATTCTCCTCCCACGTTGACACTGGAGGGAACTCTGTAATGTCACCTAATAGATAGCTGTTAATGAGAAAAGCGGTGGGGAGACGATTTACTGGTACCTTCCAAGGTTTTGCACAAATGCCTTAGTGTCTTTGATCACTTTGTTCTCCCGTCTGTAAAATAAGAGACAGACGTTATAAAGCAGTTCGTGAAAATAAGCTTGCTTTGGAAAAATATCTTGAAGATGAAAATCATGAAGAAGTGAAGTAATACTGGTATTAGCAGGGTGCCTTTGCTAGGATAGCCATCGTCTGGAATCCTACTGTCGTTATTGTAATCCTGAAGCATTGCTCTTCATGGCCGGGAATACTGAAATGGATCTGGAGTAGTTTGTGTATAGTGCTCATTTTTCTTTTATGTAAAGTGTTGATGTTGGCATTATGCAGCTTCTTATGATTATTCGATGTAGATCATTTTTGGTGGATTGTTAGGTATGAATACATGCTGAATAACTTAGATCCTTATCAGTGATTTGGGTGAGTGTTATTTTTGCTCTCCATAATGACGGATTGATACTTACTGGTGGTTAAAACACTTGGGGTTTGCCTCCTGTCTTTAGATTACTTTGTCTTTTCTGTCTTAATGGTCCCTTTTTTGTTCTTTGACATGTGGAATAGGTGCGTATTTACAACTTTACAGTAATTTCCTAACAAATAGAGGAAGACTCAAGAGTCTTAAATATTCATAGGTCTTGGGCAGCTCCTAAAAGGGAACAAGATGGGGAGGACCTGGGAAGAACTGTGGCTGTCTGAACCCAGGTGGTTCCATTTTTATAGAACTGTGGTATAGTGCTGCTCAGAATGACATTTGTCTCAGGTGAAGTTCTCAGCTGCAGAGGGCAGTGAGAAATGCCTGTGGCCAGTAATCCTTGTTGTCTTCTATGGGTGCTTTCTCAGAAACCTACCTGTTAAGGTATAACACTGTATTGAGTGAAAAGCTTTGGTGTGAAGCATGAGTTCTGATGGAGGTAATTGAGACACCGCAGAGCGTGCAGGTCTTCAAAAGTAATGCAGAATTTCTGTCTCCTTTTTCTCAGATGTACTTTAAAGGGTTGTTAAAATAAACAGGCCTTGACTTTTAACTTCTGGAGAGGTAATGCAGATGTTATTTAATGTTTTCAGAAATGTTTGTCCTAGAAAGTGTGTCAGCTATGAAAATGTCTGAATTTCTGCCTGCTGTCACTCATAGGACAGAAAGATTAACTGTTCTATCAGAGACATGTATCATAGCTGTAGTTCAACAGACCCTTTCCTCGGTAATTGTACAGTCCACTTAGGGTAGCAGTTGCCCAGCAAAACAAAAGCTGTACTTTTCAGTGTCTGCGAAACATTGCACTGCTGAGCAGCTTGAATGACTGATGGCATCACACAAGCACTGTGTTTAGTGTTGTTTTCAGGCTGTGACAGACTCTGAAGTCATTAGGAAGAATTCAGCGTTGAGAATGTACTTCCTTGGATCCACCTACAGGTCACTCGACTGAACGGTATCCAGCTGTTGATCGATATTAGTTACCTGGTAGTTCTTAAAATCTGTTGACATTATGTAACCAAATGTTCTCCAGTATTTGAGATTCAGGGTTTTGGGGGTACAGGAAGGAGATGAACTGTTTCACAGCTGAAGCATCGCCATTATATCCATCACTGGGAACCTTCCAGAGCCAGGAACATGACATCGGTGTGCCTCTGGTCTTGAAACTGTTGACATAAGGAGGGGGGTTGATTTTTGTGTTAGTGTGTTAAAGCAAGGAAGACTGGAGAAGGTGAAGTGCTGGCACATTATTCTTTTTCACTTCACCTTTCTTGTCAAATAGAAACATAGAAGGACTCTCTTCTAGTTACTGCTGCCTTACTAATCATTAAGATTGATGAAAAACAACTCCATTTTCAAGTGTTCTGTCCCGTTTAGCTGCAGAGAGTGTC